TTTTTTTTTAATATCGGACGGAGCAGGCGAATCCAAGCCCAGCGAATCGTCATTCCGATAACAGTGTGCACATGCTTCGGCTCTACTCCCATCTCCATTTGAATAGCTATGTGTTCCGTGCATGTGCTTGGGCTCTACTCCTAGCCCGCCTCAATACTGTAGCAGCAATTCAATGAGGCCAACACCGCATCAAACCCTTTTACTATGGCAATGCGTGTTCAATCCACCACATTACATCTCAGCAGCTGTGGAAAAATGAAAATGAGAGTGGTAGTTCTCTATGGACGTACGTGATTGTATGATAAGCATATATACAATTTGTATCTAAACTATACATATATAGTGATTTCGTAAGGGCTGGAGTTTACGGTAGTGATTTCATAAGGGCTGAAGTTTACGGTAGTGATTTCGTATGGTCTGAAGTGTACGGTGAGGGCTGGAGTTTACGGTAGTGATTTCGTGAGGCCTGGCTTACGGTAGTGATTTCGTTAGGGCTGGAGTTTACGGTAGTGATTTCGTAAGGGCTCGAGTTAACGGTAGTGTTTTCGTAAGGGCTGAAGTGTACGGTGAGGGCTGGAGTTTACGGTAGTGATTTCGTGAGGCCTGGCTTACGGTAGTGATTTCGTTAGGGCTGCCGAGCATAACTTCGTCGCTGAACGGACTCTAGAAGCTGGCGGCCTACCGCGAATGCGATGGAGATCAACACTACGTCAGCGACATTACAATTTGTAACTTGCGCCACAATTCCGATTTTTTTAAAACATGGACGAATAAATTGGATCATAAATCGTAAACATTGGATTGTTGCTTCAGAAAATATATGAGATTAAGTATGAATTCGTTAACAATCCGCTTTTGATGTCGTTCGCAAACAGACGGGGAAAGTATCTTTCGTTGTTTTGATGGCTGCCCGTTAACAGGCCTATTTCTCATATTGATCGTCATACAAGCAAACTCCCTTCACCCATCCAACCTGCACACCTACAATAACGACATGACGATGATATATAATTTGAAAAAAATATTATACATGTAACGACCAATATAAACTACAGTACATGTACAAATGCTGTCGCCTACAGTAAGCTTGCATTGCAAAAAGATAAGCAAGCTCACTTATCTTTTTGCCTTCAAGTGAAAAGACCCTGACCCAACTTCTGAGCATATCATCGGCTCTCCATCGTGTCTCCAGCCCCACGGACCCTCGTAAGAAAAGCCTACCCATGCGCTATCTTACGCCATCGTCTCGATTGCTGCTACATTCCTAGCTACCAGTGAAGCTTTCGTGGACGCGAGCCACGCCGGCCAACGTCGTTTGAGGACCGACCACACGACTACTGCCGATGAGGAAGAAAGAACAATCCCGGAAAAAATACGACGGATAATCGCTGTTAGAGTTGGCATTACAGCAGATAAAGTTGACGATGTAGCGCATATACAGCGCTTTTTTGCGGACAATCCGGGTGCGCAGGAAAAGTATATCAAGGTTTTCAACATAGAACAAGCTAAACACAAGAAGCACGGGCCTCCAATCTTCAAGGTTGACAATCATTGATGGTGAGTTGATGCCGCTGAAAGACAAGCAACACGGCGCAGCGAAATTGTCAAGTCCAGAACAAGCAACTTTTGAATTCGTACCACTGGAGTGTCGCGGTCTTCCTCCTTAGTGTCGGGGTCGTGTATCTAGCTGGCCGACGTAGGAACGAGAACTAGAGCGATAATTCCAAATGTAACTTGATATATTCTGAGTA